AGACTCTGTTGCGGGACACCTTGGCTGTCTCCACCAACAGGAAGGACCTCCTTGGTCTCAGCTGGAGGGTCGGATATGGCACCCCCGACTCCTGCGCCTCCAGCTGTGGGTCCTGGCCACTGGAGGGCCCGACCCACTGCTGAGCGGCTGCATAGAGCCTGTCAGGAGGAACAATTCTCAAGTGCTAGGGCATCACTACTCGTAAACAGTACGAAAACAGGTGAAATCAGTCTGTCTCTCTGACTGGTGTCAGGGCGAAATGAGGGACCCAAGTACTGCTACGGATGCCTACGACACCTTAGAGTTCCTGCGTCCCTCCTGGATGACGGGCCGGTTCCGCTACCGTCAGGGTGTATGTGGCTGCTATAATCAGATCAACATGAGGGATTGACACCAGCACAAGTGGGAGCCTAGAGCTGAGTATCCATTTTTAGGGGGCACTGAGACTTCCCCCCGAAACATCCAGGGCCACCTACAATAGGATCTGCCTTGGTGCTTGGGAATGCGCACTAATGATCAGCCTCCTATTGAACCCTAGTTACAGGCAGAACCTAGGTGGCTCTCAGCCAAGACTGCTTTCCTTCTTGCCATCACCTCAGCAAGCGTGTAAGCGAGCTTCAGGCCTTGTCCGTGACAGCTTGTGTCTGAGGTGGAACTCAAGATGGCTCAGGTCGTCACTTTATGGCCGAACACAGCGTTTCTCCCTAAGGTTGCTGGCACGCTCTCATTGATTAATCGGCTATCCAGCTGCAGGTTTGACCCCTCATCGGAGAGGGGGAAGAGAGGTCAAGATCCTCATCCGGTGCGGGCCCTTAGAGCTTATGTCCAGACTACCGCAGGCATGCGTCAGTCTGAACAGCTCTTTCTGTGTTATGGTGGTCCTAGAAGGGGCCGTGCGCTCTCAAAACAGCGCTTGTCCCACTGGATCGTGGACGTCATTGCCCAGGCATACAGGGTGAATGACCGTCCCTTGCCACCCAGAGTAAAGTGCCACTCTACCAGGAGTGTCTCCACGTCATGGGCAACCTTGAGAGGTGTGCCCCTGGAGGACATATGTGCTGCGGCCACATGGGCATCTCCGACACATTCACCAGATGCTACAGCGTGAATGTTGCCGCCCCTCACCCGCTGTGTGTGGTCCTCCTGCAGAGTCCTCCTAGGCCATCCTTATAGGGTGAGTATTCAGACTTCCTCGTGACTCTGTTTGTATAGGTCATCCAGTGCTAAAGCACTGCCTCTGGCGGTCAGTAAGGATGAAATAGAACTACAGTTACGTATGTAACTACGGTTCTATGAATACTGGATGACCGCTAGAGTACTTGGTCACTCGGAATTTCGTGTTTCTGCGAGAAGATTCCATAGGACTGAACTCGTTGACGGCACCGGAACTTATGCCTTCCGGGGTCATACGAGGTCACACGTGACTTTGTTGATATAAATATTCGACCTGCGCATGCGCGAGACAGAAGATATCCAGTGCTAAAGCACCGCCTCTGGCGGTCATCCAGTATTCATAGAACCGTAATTACATACGTAACTATCGATGTGCACCGTTATGGTGTAAATATAGCCTATCTACCAATTGGATCAAATATAAAAGTCAGCCAAATTAGTGTTGATACTACAAGGAGACGTATTGTGTGAAGAGAAATTGAAGATGTTGTTTAATTACTGATATATTTATGATCCACGTCACGTATTCAGTTTCCATGGTAGTTCTTCCAGTTTGTCTAGAAGTTTTCTAATCAGGGATCTTTGAATAGAGAACTACGGCAGATGTGTAATATTTAATGCCACCAAACTGTGTATTAAAATGCCGTTATGTGATGACTTTCAAAGAGAAAAGCAAGCACATTCTGAATAAAGTATTATTATTTATTTATTTTTTTATGTTTTTCGGATTTCATATCGCATTAACACCATATCCCAACGTGCATTGCGGCTAAACAATCCAATCACTGAGCTTCTAGCTGAGGATCTTGGGTAATCAGTTCAATGGGTTAGTGATGTGTATCGCAATAATGCTCGAAATTTCCCTTATAGGCCTACGTCTGTTTACGGTGACTTTATTTTGAAATTCAGTTCCTGAGAAACGGCTAAAAAGCCAGAGATGATAGAATTAAACGAATAAATAAAAACAAGGATAATTGTGTGTTATTGTTAAGTAAATAACAGTTTGTATAGAATAACAAATTAGAAGGAAAAAAAGATTTAAAAAATATAGATTTCAGTATTTTGAGGCTCTGAGGCCCATTTATTTTCCTCACAGACGACAAAAAAAGTCAGACATTATACGATTTAAAATAAAAACAATAATCGTGGCTTGATATTGAGTAAGAAGATGTTTTTATGAACCACACAGCTTCCGGTCTTCCAAGACCCGACCGGACAAAAAGACGTGTTGCAGGCACAAAACAGAAATACATTGCTTTTAAAATCGTTCTGTGTGACACGAAAAAAAGGAGAAAATCGTGTTGGTGAACACGAATCAATAGATTAAATGTCGTGACTATAACACGAAATACTGTGAGACAGGTTTGCTCTTTTCATGACTATTAGTTTGGGAAAGTAAATTCTGGCTTGCCCTGTTGGTCACCTCTCCATCTCTGAATGTATTTGTTGTGTTGCCCACTGGTTCAGAGAGTGCTTCTTCAATATATTTTTAGCTCATAAAACTTGTGGAAGCATTACATGTTGAGAGAGTTTGACGCCCAAAAGCATACTGTTAGTCATGCTGTGACAGCTTCCAACTCATAAACTATAGATCACTGAGCTACAATCGATATGACACCTACAATAATTTAAATCACTTCATGTTTATTTTTATTTTTCGGACAATATGTAGTAAGGCCTGGTTCCTTAAAGAAATATGTGTGCTACGTCATGGGTTGATCCAAACGTGTGTTTTACTCAGAGAAGTACGGTGTCACTGCAGTGATAAGTAATCTCCTTGTAGATAGAGGAATGTGTGATGTGCTTTCACCTCTACTGGGGGGTCCACATTCACTCACCTTAGAGACTGCAGTGAAGACCTCCAGCAGCAGCAGTAGCATGTATGAACCTTCAAGACATTACGAGCCACCTACTGAAGCCAGCTACTCCATCAGACTTTGACAGGAATGAAGCCACAGGCCGCGGAAATTAAATAAGTTAGCTATTCAGATTCTTGTGTGTGCAGAGAAAGGCAGGCCTGTAGAATCTGGTCCTATTTGTTCCCTGATCAATCAAAGTCCCTTCCTGACCTTCTTTTCGGTTTGGGATCAGAGAATTAGGTTGGATCGTCTTCCTAGTGATCCATCCCTGTGATGTTTTTATTACAATGGACAACAGAAGAATGCCAGTTGGTTTTCCTGCAGGGATTCTTTACTGTATTGGACAATTAAAGATGGATGAACAGCCTGGCCTGGGAGCTATTGTTGAATGGTTAGGAGGTAGCCTTGCATCTGCTGCCCACTGGGACCAGTTACCCCACATATGGTCCAAAAGAAAGTCCATTCATTTAGCCAATGTTTGTATGGTGTTGTACACTGTGTTAACATATGCACATGTGGTTTTGAAAGGCAGTTTTGTTACCTTTTATGACATAAACATACAAGTAATTTGTGAGTGAAATAAGTGATTTTTGTTTTTTTTGCATATAATATCATCGCCATTAGACATCCCTTTTCCTCAAAATGATTTTCTCTTTCTTTGCCATTCCTTCTGACCTCTTAAGTAAAAATACCTAAACACACATGGACCCAAAGAGACACGCACACTCTGTCTTGGTTCGCTTGTAAATAAGAAAGATGCATCTTTAATAGCCCTCTTCAAGATAGCGGAAGGAAAAGAGAGTAAATAAAAATGCAAAGAGGAACCAATAGCGTGGGTCTGGTGTGCTGCCACAGTTTGCTTAATGTTAAACCAATAAGATAATACTGGGACCAGGTAGTCTGGACTCGCTCCATCCAGAGATAGAGCTTGGACTGGGGGCTGTTTGGCGTGTGGTCTCAGTGCCTGTATCAGTTGCTCTGATTTTCAGTTAGATAGTGTTTCCAAACGTGTGTGTGCTAAGTTAAAGATAGAGTTTACAGCACCCGCTTATTGGCAGGTGTAACCTCAAAGTGTGAAGCCCTGTAATCTTTGCTCCTCAGACTGCAAGTGTTTGCCAAAGAGCTTTTTTGTTTGCTGGACAGGTGAAAAACGGTTTGGACTTTTTTTACATTACATTACAAATGCAATGTAATGTAAAAAAAGAAAGAGAAGAAATAAATTAAAATGCACAAGACCATAATTACAGTAATGTGGCTGAGTTTGATGATATGTTGGTGGAAACTTAAGATTTAAATAACATTAGCAAAGAAAGGACACAGGAGGAAGATTGGATGTCTAAAGTAGTATAACAACGATCCAGTAAGACTTACTGTACATCCATCATAACATGCCAACTGTCTCCCCAGAGGTGACCTCCCCACCCACCACCCTGCTCTTTCACACCTCTCCACCCCACAGCTCAGCCTGCTTTGCTCCTGCACAATTTGTCCTTCACATTAACATGCTCCAGAGATGCTCCGGTGTGACTGAGTGAGTGGGGACTTATTATTTTGTGACCCATGTGTAAGGAGAAGGATAACGGTCAGGCTCCAGTGGGGGAATTTGGTTTAAGGCAGAACAGAAAGTTGTTAAAGCAGTGGGCCTTCACAAATGTGACACACACCCACAGGCTAAGGACTTTGGGGTCTGGATGAATATGGTAGAAACACAAGTGGGTGAGAAGAAAAGCTGATTATTTTTTTGCCAATCTATAATGCCCTTTAATAGTTAAAACAAATGCAATGTTTAATGTGATTGTTGGCATATTTCATGTTTGATCTAGTCATTGTGTTTGCATGCATAATAAAGGAAAGCAGTTGCTCAAACTTTAAACTATGTGTGTGTTTGTCATACACTGAACACTGAGGTACACAGTGAAAAGAAGAGCGTGTAACCTGTGATCCCTAAGGCATCAATACCTGCACACACTTGCACACAAACACATTGTTGTTTTCATTCAAACATCTTGGGATTTTGTGCTTCTCTGCTAGCAAATCAAGATACCCAAATACCAAAACATTTTTCCATCTGGAAGATGGATCACAGGTCTTTGTTTATTCCCTATTTCATTCAATTACCCCCTGTTTTGTTTGCCTAACATTTCATACTCATGATCTAATTTTTTGTTTGGTTGCTCTTCAGATCTGCAAATGAATGCCTCAGCTGAGCGCAGAAGCTGCATGTGGTGTATAATTCATTAAGCCTCCTTGTCCCTGTGTGTGCACACATCACAAAATGACGGAATCCCCGGAAAGTGTGTATGTGTGCGTGTGTTTGTGTGTGTATGTGTGTGTCTGTGTGTGTGTACATGTGATGCTACGTTGAAAGGGACCATCTGGTCCATGTGACAGTAATGAAGTGAGGGGCATTGTGGTACAAAGCCTCAGACCCATTCATCACAGCTGTAGGCGGGCCAAGCATATTCCCCCTGTCTTATAGGGATACCTCTGCATACACACACACACACACACACACACACACACACACACACACACACACACACACACACACACACACACTGCACCCCCACACATAACTGTATGGTTCCTGTTTGCTATTGCCTAAATGGCATGCTCATGCAAACACTTGTAGAACAGTTATTCGAAAGAGCATTAACATTAGAGTCCCAAGTGTTAACTCCCTATAAAAATAATGCATTATCAGTGAAATCATTAAGGTGGTGTGCATCTCATCTGTCATATCTGTCATATCTGGCACACTGCAAGAGGATTTGCACTGCAGTGTCGTCTGGGGTCATTTTGAATTTGCAGTCACAACCTTGGGCTCCTGCGATACTATTATAATGGGTCATAGTATATCATCTAGATCTAAAAAAACTGTTGAAACATGAGCTGCAAAATTGTTTTAACAAAGGTGGGTTTAACGATGAAACCCCTGTTTTATTTGATTTCTCTTATGATTTACCTGTGCATTACTCTAACTACTCAAGTGTTGAATGGATAGCCATTGCATACTGTATTGCAACCAGCCTGTCCTCCTCCAAAAAACGACCAAATAGGTTGATTGTTCAGCAGCTTATTATGACCTATAGTCACGTTTTAAAGTTTAGCACCTCTAGTGGTCGTGTAAGAAACAACAATTTGCGGCATGTGCGATTGCAAACGCTCCAGAGGGTCGTATATTCACTAATAACCAGTGTTGGGACTAACGCGTAATGCACTGTAATGCAACTATTTTTTGCGGTAACTAATAGCGTTACTAGTTACCTATTCCCATTAAGTAACGCCGTTATAGTTACTGTGATTTAAATGGTTGCGCTACTGCGTTACATCATGTGATGTGAAGAGTTTATCGCCGGCCACTAGAGGGCAGCGTCACTGCTGTCGCTGCCCGGTTATGCCGTGCTCAAACATTGTTCATTCACTCCGCCTCGAGTTGAGACGTTCGTCCACTCATTCATGTAAGACTGTTTCCACTATTATATTATACTATATATTATACTATATATATATTATACTATTATACTACTATACTACTATACTCTGTGTCGTGGTATATATTTGTGTTGATGACATGCATGGAGGTAATACTTTGTCAGCTTATCTTGCTGCATTACTCTGTTTCAGGGTGTCGTCATCCTTGTCAATAAATTACCGAAACTGACATTGAGGAGTGTGTTTTTTTCATGACAACACCATGAATGAGTGGACGAACGTCTCAACTCGAGGCGGAGTGAATGAACTGAACCAAATTTCCCTGCGGATGTAATTTAAAGGCGAATACAGCGATGTCATCTCACAGCACCATGGAAAAGTGAAAGTAACCAGAGAGGAGTGTTGATTGGTTAACGCGGGGTAACATTTCAGGGTAAGCGAATCAGAGACAGAGTTGGGCGGGTCTTGCCTTATGGGGAAAATACACACACGAACACTTGCTAATGCTAACACACGCACACACACGGCAACGCTCACCACCAGCACACACACACACACACACACACACACACACGCACACACAATGGCAGATGCAAGTATCAGCGAGAGCAGCAGCGCATTTGCAACTTGGAGATATAACCACTATTTCNACACACGCACACGCACACACAATGGCAGATGCAAGTATCAGCGAGAGCAGCAGCGCATTTGCAACTTGGAGGACGCAAAAAATATTACGGTAAAATGTAAACTGTGTGCAGGACAGAAAGCATTGTCCACATCGAAAAACAGCAATGCCAATCTCCTGAAGCACCTATGTACATGGGGCTATAAAACTAGTCGCCTTATTACTAGTTACTTTTATAATTGAGTTACCAATAAAGTAACTAGTTACTTTTTTGAGAGCAGTAACTATAACTATTACTAGTTATTTTTAAAAAGTAACTTGCCCAACACTGCTAATAACCCTCTCTGGAAAATCCTAAATTGTAGGATAGTTTGGCCATTAAAACTATTTTTGATTTGATTTCTAGCGAGAAGTGTATATTGTACTTTTAGAATCCAGGTCCAGTGGATGTGTAGGATCTATAGTTTGATAGATATTACGAAGATGATTTGAGGTCTCGCCAGGAGAACGTGTATATACTACGTCTTTCCGCACAGCGTCCATGTAAAGTTGGCTCACGGGGTGAAAACAGTATATATAAATAAAACCGGAAGTATTCCCCTCACTGTTAAATGATTACACAGTGATATCTGCATTACTCATCCACTAAAAAACATCACTATCCTTGTTAATTACAAAACATTGATTGGTTTAAATTGTGTACAATGCTTTTGTGTTTTTAACCAAATATCTCAAAGACAGTGTGTGTGTTCTTCTCCAAGGGCCACAGCATTATAACAGAACAAGATGTTTTATTTTCTTGAAGGAGACTTCAGGTTGTCTCGGAGTACAAGTACTTAGGAGTATATATTGACACAAACATCAATTTCAAAACCCATATCAAAAAGGTCTGCAATAAAGTAACCAATTACAGATACATTAGAAACTTCCTATCGACAGCAGCAGCTAAGCTGTACCTTCACTCAATGGTCCTCTCCCACATCAACTTCTGTCTGATAAGCTGGTCTAATGTACACTCTACAGCTCTAAAAACACTGGAATCATTATATAAACAAGCACTCAAAACACTAGGCAAAAAAGCCATTCCGGTATCATCATTGTAACATTGTTAAAAAGTATAATCTGTTCAGCTGGGAAAATCTCATAGTTTACAAAAACATCTGCTTAGTTTATAAGATCACTCGTGGGTTGGCTTCTCCTCCTCTGGCTGGCTTCATCAGCCTAAAGTCCACCTCAACCAGGGTTACTAGAAGTGCGGCTAGGGGAGACTGCACCATCCCATTTAGGAAAAGCGCATTCAGCCAGGCTGTCTTTTCATTCCATGCATCCAATCAATGGAATTCAATACCACAGCCAATAAGAGAATCCTCATCCTACTACACATTCAAGCATTAAAAAGTGGCTCATTGCAAACCAACAGTGTCAGCACTGATGTGTGGGTGTAGGTGTGTTTAAGAGTGCGTATTGTAAATGTTTTATTTATTATCATGACTTGATTTTATCTGTATTCAGTGATGTCATCTATTGTAAATATGTACAATGGTATAACATTGTTGTGGTATTTTCATTATTGCTTTTAGGATGTCTATCACCATCTGGCAAAGGGACTATCGATGAAAACTCGAGTACTTTTACATGTTTTTAATATGTTGATTAATGTACACTGTCCCTTGTTTTAAATAAATCAATTCAATTCTGTATATGATTCAATGTCTTTTTTTTGTACCATTGTTATGGAAATACAGCGTGAAATTGTAAGCTCAATTACAAAGTTGTGCTTTTATAAACAGGGTATATGCAGGAATCCTGAGGTCAAATTTAATACCTTTTAAGACCTTTTTTAAGACCCTTTCCATACATTTTAAGACCTCATCGCAACTTTGAGTTCTAACCGCTTACATTGGCAACACACTTTACCTCAGATTTACTATATTGATTGTAAGATAGCACAACTAAACAGAGTGCAGACAGACTACTGAAGCCTCCTCTCCACATGAACTTCAACCTCTCTGTGAAGGTCAGTTTAATGCAGTATGCTGCTTTGTTGCTTCTGTACTCTGTGCTCTTTCATTCCAGTAAAACTCCTCAGAAACCATTAGAAACCAGTATTTGACCAATAAACAAAACAATTGACAAAACTTTGAACTATGAAATATATTAAACTTTGGTGAGCTTCAGCGGGGTAATGCCATATAGGAGCTCCCTCACAAATACCCAGGGGTTAAATTGGGCTGGGGCTGTCCGGGGCTAAGCCCTGGCACATAGGACGATTCTCTGACGTCATCACCCTCACACATTTGTCATATGTTTACAAAAAACAATATATATGTTAAGACTTTTCTCGTTCTTAATATAGACTATATTAGGGTCGATATGTGTTGACTTTACTTTAAAATAGCAGATCTCTGTGACCGGATATAGTTTGGCTTAGACCCCGGCCCCACGAGGACGCATACGGTAAAACGCAT